AATCTTTCTTAGTCTCTTACTCCTCAGCCAAACCTCAGCATGTAGATTATCCTTACGTTCCTGAGAGCTACTAGAAATAATTATCGTGATCAGCACTAAATCATCCAGGGGTCAGCTTTGAGCCCAAGGTGTATCGTATTCAAGCAGTGATGGTGAAACTTTTACGATTTTCAATTATACAAGCAGCCCGCCCTGGCATGTGTGCAATAGGTTCACCAGCACTGGTCTAGGAGTTGGATAAGACATGGTACACAGCATGAAAACAGGAATAGTGCTGAGTTCTGTTCCCATGGGATGGTGTTAGACAAGATTTCAGCTTCCCTGGAGCTCAAGTTCACAAATGCCTAACGGAAGAAATAGAACTAGAATTTCATTAAGGTCCTTTTGAATTGACAATGTGGGATTTTGGAATTCTGACATTTGGTCGTCCACTGATCTCCTGGGCCATTACTGGGCTCACCAAAGAATCCATATAAAGTGTCATGGAAGTGAAAGGAACTACTCTGGACAGCCACGCCAGGACAATGGATGACAGTGGGCTACCCAGAATCACCACGGATGGTGGTTCCCCTGGATTTTAATTCTGTCTCTGTTGGGCTCCAGGTTTGGGGTTGCTCCTAGTAGAAGCAGAAAGAGGCCAATTTGTGATTTAGGGTCAGGGCCCCCAAGGAAGCTGCACACAGAGTCCGAGAGCAGGTCACATGCGCCACCACCATGCAGCTGACAGACCTGGACCTCTGCTTGCACCTAAACAAGTAGCCCCATGCCCAGAGCCAATAGAGCCTCACAGGCCTACTCTGCATTCATGCCCTCCAGCTGTCCAGAGTCACTCCGTCATTAAGAGAATATTTTCTACCCCTAGGGCTCAAATGCACGGAAAATGTGATCACAAAGAAAACACCCAAATTAAATATCCTTTACCCCCATCCACTGGTCCACATCAGTCCTTGTCCCGATTGGCACTCTCACCTTTCCCCTAATGGGCACAAGTATCCCAAATTAAAGGTGTGCTGGCTACACTGTACCTATACTTTCTTATTCCAAGAACAAATGAAACAAAATTGATCTACCTGAGAAGTAGACACACAGAAGTTTCCCAGCTCAGTCGAGGTGAGTTTTGAACTGACCTTCCCTTGAGATTTCTCAGAATAACCATTGCTCATGCATACCAACTAGACGCCAAGGCTGCTTAGGAGCCTCAAGTGCCATCTCTCCTAAGGCTCGGAACAGTCTTGCATCCCAAAGGCAATCTAAGGGCAAAGCTAACAACATTTCAAGATCATGAAGACTAGTGGCACTCTGTTAAGTATCTTCAGACTCTTACCATTCCAAGGCACACTGTAGGGACAGATCTTGAAAGCGTGTACAGGCGTCAGAGCTGAGATTTCAGGTGTACCCATGAAAAGGTTAAATACTGCCTGCAACTTCTCAGAACTCGTGGCTCCGGCTGATAGTGAGGAAAACAGAGAGCAGATAGTGGCTATCTCTTAGTGATTCCCATAAGTGGCTGCTGAAAACACCCTCACTCCTCTACTTTGCATCACATGGAGTGACCAGAGCTGATCTGACATCAAAGCCCTGTGCAAATGCGGTAGACCCTGAATTGTGAGGATAGGAGGCTAGAGGTAGGACTGCAGCTCTAACAGCTGTGGGGGGCTGCTGAGTGTGTCACAGGGCTGGTCACTGGTGATTTCCTAGTGGGCTGTGTGCAGACAAGCAGCACTGTGGCTACTTTGGAAATGAGCACATTGAGATTTTTCTGGAGAACTGAATTAAGCTGTCCTTCCAAGGATATACACATGTGCCAGAAAAATGGAAAAGGGGAAAGAGAAGAGGACATGGACCTCAGCAGGAAATCGCACTGACCAAATGGCTGGATCCACCTGATCCTCTCACTTAAGAGTTCCACATTTGCAGCTTCAAACCTTTTAAATTCTCACCAGTTGATCAACACCTTCTCTAGTCAGATATCTTAAATCTATCCTTGTTATAAAAGGTGCCAGGACAGTGCCTTTCTCTTCTATGTTCTTCTCAGGTGAGGATTCTTACAGCACGGAAGCATCTCAGAATAGCGAGCCAGCACCACCCAAGCTAGCAGCATGTGCCCATCGAGTGGCTGGGGCCAAGTCTTCAGGCCAGCTCCCTCAGAGAGCAAGTTCTCTGGCTGAGCTGGGAAAGGGGCTCTGTACCACCAGGACAACAGCGTGACCTTTACAATAGTCACTGGGAGAAAGAAGAGGCCGGAAAGGATTTCAAAAGTGAAAATACATCTCAGAATGAAGACTTTGTCTTTGTTCCACGCTCTTAGTGACGGGGCTGTGGCTCTGGCAAACGATAAGCAGTCCACCTGCACCATCAAAGGAGATTTTTTGAGTTTTATGGCAACAGTGTGGTGTCACTGAAGGAACAAGGGCTTAGAAGTCAGATGGTTCTCTGATGACCCTGTTGGCCTCCTGTACTTTTTCCCCAGTGTAGGTTCTAGAATTAATAGAGCTTCATGCCAAGTAACACAGGCTATGGATAGACATCAGCATGAGGGTTAAAAACTCCAATTACTCAGGGAAAAGGCAGATTGTAAGTATTTGCAGCTGGCATAGTAGAGACAAAACAGGAACCTCACATGTATCCAGAGAGGATGGGTCACTCAGTACCAAGGTCAGATCAAAGAGCCTCCCACTACCCTGCTGCATGCCATCTAGGTTGAGTGAACCCTGTGTATCTCGTGTCGTGGGGTCAGTCTGTGAGTCACCTTCTTTGCATTAGCACCCACATTTTACCTAAAGCACCTGTTGCAGTCTTCTTCCTTTTAGGTGAAACTTGTTACAGTTCACTGTACTGGAAGCCCCTTGCAGTGGTTTGCATATGGTTGTACATGTTCCCCAAAGGTCCTTATGCTGGAAACATGGTCCCCAGGGTGGTGGTGCTGAGTGGTGAAAGCTGTAAGGGGTGGGGCCCAGGGGGAAGGTGACTGGGTCATGAAGCCCTAATTCCACAAAGAGATTAACGTGGGTAAGAAACGTGAGTTAGATCTCATGAGACTGAGTCACTATAAAAAAGAGCAAACCTGGCCCCTGATCCCTCTGGCTTCCTGTGTCTCACACGTGAACGCTCCCTCTCACACGTGCTCTTGCTCTGATGTCACTACCGCCGAGGGCTCGCTGGGAGCTGAACAGATTGTCCACCAATCCTGGACTTTGGTCCCCAAAAGTATGAACCTTAGAAAAGAGCTTTCTTGGGGCCGAGGAGATGGCTCAGTGGAATAAGCGCTTCCCTGGCAAGCGCAAGGGCTTGAGTTCAATCCCCAGTTCCATCAAAAAAAAAAAAAAAAAAAAAAAAAAAAAAAAGAACTTTCTTTCGATGTCCCTGAGCTTCCGGTGTCTTGTAATAGCAACAGAAAATGAACTAACATGGCTGTACTGCTCCATTGTTTTTAGGCGGGTAGCAGGTCCAGTTCTATAGCTTATTCCGGAATCGTGGCACTGGAGAAACAGATGACATTCAACGAACTTTCTAATCCCACCAGCTCCAGAAAGCACATCGGATCTATAATTTGATGTACCACTTCTTTTTGTATAACTCCTCTTTCCCTTGAACTTCTCTATTGCCTTCCTACCCCATCCTTCCAAATCCTGCAGTTGCTATGGGTTGCTAGGCTCTCCGCAGTACCTCTACCAGTTTGCCTATCAAAGCGGTCTCAGCTGTACCACCAAGAGGCCATTAAAGCCCAGTTGCTGAGTTCTCCATCAGAGCTCTAGCTGTAGCTGGAGAAAAAGGTGCACATCGATTTCACTCATGCACATCTACCTTGCTTCCTGGTCAACAGGAAACCAGCCATTGTGGAGGTCATACCAAGTGGGCAATGAAAGAAAGCAGACGAAAACTTTGTTGAAGGCAGAAACCTATTCTCTGTGAAGTGTTTACTCAGTGGGCAAAGAGCTCAGAACTTACTGCTTTTGTGGGCTTCAATAGCTTCCTTGAGATTCAAAAACCAGCACTTTTGTGTCCAGGTGGGCTACTTCACCACTAGACCTCAGAGTCCCTGCTCAATGAGTACCCACGAACCTCAAGCTCTAGGCCTGAAGAAACAGTTTCCAAAAACAGAGCTGTCTCTCTGAACAATTCAGCAAAAATGCTCTTTCCAGCTGCAAGTCGAGCTTCACGTTGCAAACGTTGGTGTTAATGAAAAACATCCACCTTCTCCAGTTTCCACAAGGAAGAAGCTTCACACAGAACGAATTCCTAAGCACGCCTCTCCAAGACACTCAGAAATGTGTTTTACTTAAGACACGGTTGCTGGGGGTCCTGACAGCATCATTCCCAATTTTTGGTCCCAATACAAAAAGTTGGGGCCCCAAGGATGGGTGGAAGGCCTAACGTTATTGTCAGAAAAAAAAACAAAAATACTGCTCCTTGTGCACAGCCTCTAAATGTTCAATTTCTTGCGTATCAGGCTGAAATCCAATGTGCATCTGTCGAATCACTAAAATTATTCTTCACATGAAGATGAAGAAAGCACGTAGGCCAAGGCCAGGGACATCCCCAAAGGGCTGCTCCAGCGCATTCCATATTGGGATGTGAAGATGGTTCCCCACCTTCCTATTACAGTTTGTCTCTTCACTACGAATTCGTTATCTAAGGTGGGCCTGAGAGCGGGGGATCAGATGGCTGCATTTCATTTTCTCTCGGGCTTATCTCGGGTTGGTGAATCTGTCCTGTCACCCTACACAATCCAGATCGGAAAGAATCAAGCCAGAGCCACATCGTTATGAATGAATTTCTTCATCTTTAATTTCACACAGTTTAAAATACAATATGAAATCAGGCTACAGTATATAAAAAACTCTCCAGCAAAATGATGTGCCAGCATCAGCTACTAAAATAAACAAACAAAAACTCCCTGGTAAGAAAAAATTTTTTTTGCATTAAAAAAACAGATAGACACTTACATCACTACATCTCTAAGCTACCTCAGTTGATTTTTAAAAAGCACCTGCTTTTCCTTTTTTTTAATCTCGCTTTAAAATTTTAAGCTTTTAAAAAATATAAATTATATGAAAATACAAGTTGGAAAATAGTCAAACACAATATAACATCTTTTTCACTCCAATACTTTTCAGCTTTAAAAAAAAAAAGTATACTTAAAAAAAAGTTCAATAACTGAGGCAGTGTTCCTGATAGAGATAATTTCATTTCAATATATATATGTCATATATGTATATGTATACATATATTTATGGTTCCTTGACACTTCTTTGGAATGTAGGTAAAAGTTCAACAAATTTATATAGACCCCAACAGAGAAAGCAGCATGCACAGCATGACTAGAAAGGAGAAAACATATTTTCCCCATGAAGGTCAGGCAGGTTAATGCTCTCAAACCCAGAGTGCTCATCTGCAAGGTGAGGAAGGGCATGTCCATCTTGGAAGTCCACCAGCAGTCCCCTGCCCGTAGTTGGGCTCTGTGTAGGAAGTCCCTTCCCTGAACGCGGAAAGGAACCAAGTGACTCCGGGCCTGACAGCCGAAACCCACACAGATTAAGGCATCTCCAGGAAAATAAGCTAGACCTGACTTGCCCCTCCTTCCTCTGAAATTAACATGTTTTCAAAAAGCATCAATGCAACAAATGCTGCTACATTTCCAGTGTATAAGCCGCCCACCACTCTTCCTAGGAGGGTCTCTGGCCTTTGGACAAAAGGGGCGGAGCGTATGGCCAGATGGACGGAGCTGTGTGTACTAAACACTAGCTACAAATCCTGAAAGCGGTGGACATAGGGAGAAAGGGCGGCGGAGCAAGAGCAGGGCGAGGAGCGTGTGGAGGCACTTTCTGACACCTTGTCTGCTGTGGACTGCAGGGTTGGACAGACTCCGGGACGGGGACTGTTTAGCATACATTTTACAGGAAAGGCTGATGACTGAGAAAGCAATTTCATGCCTGGCTGTAAACAGTAAGCAATGACTGAAACCCAGCCCTGGGTCTGCTCTCACCCATCACTGAAATGGGAAAAGACTGTACTAGAAAGTTCAGATATTGTTTCAGCTGCAGTTTTGCACCTCCACAAAAATCACACACACACACACACACACACACACACACACACACACCCCTTTTACCAGTGCCCAACAAAGATCACGTTATCTAAGAGAAAACAATGTCATCCAAACAGTTCCGCCTAACACTCCCTGAGCAGCTCCTGTAATACTTGGAGAGCTTCTTTAAGGCACCTGCATCTGTAGGTCAAAATACACAGCTGGAATCCCTCTGCCTTCGCTCTACTGCGGATGCACCAACTGGTCCGCACGAGGACCCTCCTGAACCACAGACCTCGAGCCTGTCAGTTCAGGGCCTGCAAGGGGATCTGCGAGGCAGCAGCATACCAGGAAGATATGCTAGAAGGTAGTTAGTGCATCTGGTTTCTTGCTAAATCCCCAAAAGGACCAGCCCTGAGAAGTCACCTTCACTGTTTCTTGCCCTCTCTCATGGCAGTCCCTTGTCATCTTCAGACTGCCCATGTCTATGGTGGGAGGAATTCTAATGACCGCAGGCACGTTGCCTCACCACTTAGCTCCTGGGTTTGGGCCCAAAGATCCTTCCTAGATGCATCGCACAAACAGCAGAAAGATAATTGTCTTTCATGACTGTGTTTAAATTCGGGGAAAGCTAAAAATTTATCCAAACTTCACGGACCTCCTCCTTTTATTCACTCAAGCTCCCTCCTTGTTGCCTCTGCTTCCCTTCTCCAATACTCTTCGCTCACCATCTGCCAGGGCAACAGGTCCAAGCACAAGGCCCGGCATCACCTGCACCACCTCCTCTGCTTGCAAATCTCATCCAACATCCTACCCTTGTAGCTTCAAGGGAAAGCCTTGCACATCGCTTCCCCAAATCAGCCAAGTCATGCCATACTGAAACGCTCCCTCAGTATCAGTGGCTTCTAAAACCCAGAATGTATACACTCTTGAGCTCCTTGGTGTTAGAAGTCCACTCCTTCGGTCAGCTATCGGGAAGCTTGTTTCTCTCTGTTCAATATTGGGGAGGGGACAACAAATGTGGGCTACTGGAAGTGTAAGACATAGAGGAGAAACTGTCAAGTGTCAGTGTGAAACAAACAACACGCATCCGGGATGTGCTTCCTAAGACCTGAGGGGGTAATGCCCATGCACACAGCTTTAATTCCAAGTCATCTATGTCACAGGGAGAGAATGATCAAGAACCAGGTCAACTTTCCTCCTTCAATTTCCTTTCTGTGACGTCAGCAGTGCTCCTACAGTGACTCTAGTCCAAACCCAGGGCTGCAAGATACATTCAGTTTAAAGACTTAGTGCTTCATAGATCAACATTAAGTCTAACCCCGAGAATCCATAAATGACAAATAAGCCAAGGGCTGTGGCAATATTCTAAAATTACAGATGGAATGCACACGCAGTTCCCCTGTACCCAAATCAGCATTAATATTTCCTTCATATACAAGTCACATGGACTGGGGATCCCTGATCTCAGTGGCTGAGCTTGCTTTTCCAATGGGGTCTATATAAACAGTTTTCTTTCAGCATGACAAACTCCTCAGCCAGCAAATAAGAACAAACTTGCATGATACTGCAACACTGAGACCACCTTAGAGCTTAAGACTATTTTTTGAGAAAAAAAATACTGGCACAAAATTTCATAAAATAAATTTTAACACAAGAACAGTTTGGACCCCTCCCCATAAAGTCCATCTTTTTTTTTTTTTTCCAAAAAGCAGAGTGAAAGGTAAATAATCCTTGGTTTTCAGTCTGTCCTTCAAAGCAAATGTTCTTATCCCGCCCTCCTCAATTTTCCCTCCCAGATTCAAAAACAACAGCAAAATAATTGCCTTTCACCGTCTTGTACTATGGATGTAACCATTTCTCTTGCAAGTGGGTCCATAATTCAAGATGTGTTTTTGGCATGGATGATTTTAAAAATGACTGGAAATGTTAGTTGCTTCTTTCCTTAAAATTAAGCCAGATCCTTCGAGCTTCTAACACCTTTTTCTCTGTCCTGAAAATCTGCTGAAGACCTTCGGGCCCGCCACCCTGCAAGTCTCGGCTTTCCCCTCCAGCCACGCACAATGGAATGCAGCTGCAGCCCCCTTAGCGCCCACCCCTGAATGTAAAAAAAAAAATGAGTTCTGGAAAATAAAAAATAGAATAACAATAAAAATGAAGAGTCCGACCAACACAGTTGTTCTCTGAAAGGTCTCAGAAGGGTTGCCCCGGCCCTTCCACATCCGTCACTCATCCGTGTCTGGCTTCACATCCAACATGGCGTGGAGCTCCTCTGGGCTGTAGCCCAGCAGGCTCTGCAGGTCACAGACAAAGCGGTACACGTAGCGTTTCCCTGCTGTCTTGTGGATGATGTTTTTGTCATAATAGTAGCGTAGACCACGGCTCAGTTTCTCGTAATTCATCTTAGGCTTGTTTTTCCTCTTTCCCCATCTCCTCGCCACCTGAAAGTAAAATTTTTTAAAAGAAACAGTGGGTGAAAACCTACAGGATAGCCTCAGTCCTATGTCAATAATGATTTATGATGTCCTGACATGTTCAAGTAAGAGAATCAGAGATCTATACACTACTTGCTGAACCAGCTCCTCTGAAATCTTTCTTAAGTAGTTTAATTTGAAATTATCACATAGAATTATACGTATTTACAGGGTCAATGTGACATCATAACATGTGTACAATACATGCAGATCAGATCAGGGAACTGGCACATGTACCACCCCGGCTCTACAGCACTGCTTTGTAGGGCCAACAGAAACCCTCTGTACTACTAAAGCATTTTCAACTCCTACAGTAGTTGTCGGCATGGTCATCCTAGGATGCTGTAGGACCCCAGAAGTTCTTTCTTCCCCACTGAGCTCACTCACCAGGGTCTCTCCATTCCCACTGTCAGGCCCCTTCCTGCCTCTGGGAACCAGGTTCCGCTGCCTACTTCTACAGGCCCTAGGTTTTAGCTTATAAGACTTGGTTTTTAGCAAGTAACAACACGCAGTATCTGTCTTTCTGTGCCTGACTGATTTCACTTCACATACTGTTCCCTGCTATATGCACACTGCTGCAAATGACACAACAGCTGGTGTTCAGAAGCCTGGGCAGGGATGGCCGTCAAGCTAGTCATTTCAGCTGATGAAAATGCGGTGACCCTAACTGGAATGGGGTTAAAGAAAAAAAAGGAAGAGTCTAGCTATAAACTCTCTTTCTTCTTCATTGTTTTGGCCTGTGTCTAGAAGTCCCTCCAAAGCCTCATGGATCTAGAGTGGGTGACAATGCTGGGCTCAAGGGTGTGAGTGCTATCTGCCCTAAGTAGCCTGGATAAGATCTAAGGGACAGAATGATGTTCTAAGATTCTTTGCTTGCTTGCTCTTGCTGTCTTCTGCTTGCCATGAACTCGCTCTCTGGCACAATGCCCCTCTGCCATGTGCCACCTGCCTTGGAGCCAGCCAGGGATGAACTGAAAAAGCTCTACAAATTGTGAGCTAAATAAACCTTTCCTTCTTTAACTTGGGGTGTTACCTGTTTTGTCTCAGCAATGAGAAAAGTGACTAAGATACTCATAGTATTAGTAGAAAGCTCTTGCTTTTAAAGCCTAAAATGCACAGGGAGGGCAGAGAGAGGAAGCACTGAGCTGCAGTCGGACCTGCTTGCCACATCAACAGGAAGTGTTCTTTCTGTACAGGCACAAATATTTTCTTGTGTCTGCCAGAACAGAGATCTTGTCTCCCTTGTTCATTGTTTTTTATCATCAGAATCAGGCATGGCACAGATCAACCTCTCAATTGACATTTGTGAAATAAAAGAAGGAATAGATGAACAAATTGCACCAAGCTTCCAAGGCCTCTTGAACTGGGCCCCTTTGACAGTCACAGAGACAGAGCCTCAGAAAAATGCTAGGGCGGAGAAAGCCACTTCCCTGATGGAGGGTCTACTACATGCCAAGCGCTTTGTTTATTTACCAGTTACCCTAGAAAACAAAGGGAGCGTGCACCTATTTCATTTTCCAAGAGCTGAAACTAGGTGTCAGGCAGGCTGTACACTTGCTCACGGTCACACGAGTAGCAAGCGGCAGAGCTGGCACTGTAGTCTTACAGAATATCATCCAGGCCCCATCCAGATGAGTTTCTCTTGTCCCTCCCTCTACCCAGGCCTCTTAAGTCACTCCTTTCTTACCTCATCTGGGTCAGAAAGTTTGAATTCCCAGCCATCTCCTGTCCAGCTGATAAAAGACTGACAGGACTTATCAGTGAGTAATTCCAGAAGAAACTGCCATAGCTGGATCGGTCCACTGCCTGGAGACACAAGGTGTTGTGAATCATTACCCCACGTATCCAGTGCTCTAGGCCACAAATCCCGCCAGACAGTGCTGTTCTCCACCCCGTCCCCAATGGTCCCCTCCTCTCTCAATCTATGTAGTCAGGAGAAATATGGGCAACCTGTGGCAAAAATGCTGGAAAAGGAACCCTAAGCTCCAACAGATCAAAAGAAAGGGCTTTCTACCACACATGCACAGAAAGCAGCTAAGGTAATATATCAGTTGCTTTATTTTTACTGACTTAAGAGTTGGTTCATTTTTATTGGTAAGCAAACTCTAGAAAGAAAAATACAGGGTCTCCTGAAATACTCTAAGGAAGCTTAATCTTACGTGCCTTCAAAAACCAAGCCACTGTGTTTGCCTTAAACAGAAAAGCACTAATGAAGGAATGCTAGGCCAAGCCCAAGCAGAAGTCAGCGCTCAGGAGGACGCCTCCGTGGCAGGGCGCCGCTGACCTGTGTTGGGGAAGGGTCACTACAGGCAGGTCCTGTCACAGAAACAGATGCCCTCACAGTCGTCCTCGCCATCATCGTTACAAGACGTGCCAAGCCACATACAAGCAAGCACCTCAATGAGCAGGAAGGCATCCGATGACCTGGGATCAACCTGCCACCCAAGAAGGAGAGATCAGGCGATGACCAGCCCAGACTGTCTTTATATGTATGTGTTCTCTCTCTCTCTCTCTCTCACATGCACACTGTTCCCTTCCCTTAGTACCAGCACTCAAGATCTCATCTCCAAAGGACGCCTGGCATACCCTTCCATTCTACGCTATCCTAAAGAGTTTATACCACATTGTCTTTCTCTTAGTAAACCTTTCTATTCGGAGATACCAGAGCCACCTGCAGCTGGTGGCTCCTATGTAATGTCTGGGGTTAGCTAGAGAGATTGACGTGGTTTTGCCAGCACGTGCGTGCTTGGTACGTGTCTCTACCATAGCCTATAACACCATCACACACAACATCTGAGCACAGGACTGAGAACAACCCCGCTGGTAGATGGAACCCACAAGACCTGCTGTTCTCAGGCTCTAATGCTTAGCCTTAGAAATTTCAAGTATGCTGAAATTCCACAGCAAACAAGCTTGAAGACCCTCTCCACCTAACGGAGAAGCTGCCTTTATGTTCTCCACAGCTCTTCTCTCTCCTATCTTACACTGCTCTAAGGCATACTCACCTATATCTTTCTCCTTTCTCCTAAAGTCCTCTCCCTACCCCTGGGTTCTGGGCTCGGCACAGTGCTCCTACTGTTTCCACTCTATTGGTGCTGCAAAAGGAGCTCCAGGAAGTAATGTGACTTTGGACCAAGATCAGACCCTAAGCACCACAGTGGCCTCCACTGACCCCGTGAAGAATAAACAGCTGCCCTGCATGGTCCAAGCCGAGGTGAGGTCCCATGGAAACCCTTCTCCACCAATGACTTCCCAGTGGTGCTCTCAGTGCCCTCTCTCAGCACACCTAAGCTAAATATGGAATAAGGAACATCTCTACCTCATCTTTCTGACAATGCTTTTCAAAGCCATCATGCATGAAATAATCTACACATATTCAAGAACAATACAATTCAACGAATACCTCCAACATCAAGTGACATTTGAAGAGCCAGTGCAGAGGGCTGCTCTGGGAAGTCCTCACTTCGGGGCTGTCTACTCACTGCTAAGCCATCCAATTTGCAGCTCAGGTTTCCCTGCAATTGAGGCGGCAGCTACTGCACCCTATGCGGGCTCATGACACTAACCACGGCATCAGCTGAAGAGCCCAAGGAGGCCATTCCAATAGGGAAGAACGCAAACTGCCCTTAAGAAATGTGCTTGCAAGAGTCCCCCTGACATTACAAGTTTCACAGGAACTGCAACAATTGGACCCCTGAAGATAAACAGACAGAAAAACTAGCTGCCCTGGTTTTTCTGCAGAGGAGAAGGCTCCTAAGCCTATGCCACAAACCTGAGATGGGTCAGGGGAAGGAGGCTGCTGTGAGACCCCAGATAGAGAAGGACACTAAGAGGACCCATGACTGCATGCCTAGCATACACCAGCTTCTGATGGATGCTTGAAGGCCCTCACGATTCCTTACATGAAGCTTAGGGGCACACACTGTCAGTGCAATTTGCTTGCCCTGCTTTCCAACAGAGGAAGCTGGTACTCACATGGCTGTCTATCTTGCGCAAGGCCATGCACGTCAGAAGTAGAGCAGTTGGGGCTGGGACCCGCCATACTAGCCTTAAAACTCTTCAGGTTGACACTACCTTGTCCCAAGACGAGATCTGGCATCTAAACGGCTTGCCAACTTCCAACAACCAAAGGGCTAGAAGGACCTGGCTATAAAGATCTCTCATCCTTCCCTATTCCTCACAGTAGCCTAAAGGCACTAGAAGGCTCCTCCTGGCTTCGGGAGCCACCTGAACAGGTAATGTTCCCCAGCGCTAGTGGCGAAGTCCTCTTGTGATGGTTACATTATGCTACATCACTATCTGTCCCTCCCGTAAGTTATCTTGGAATCTTGCTCACAGTCTTAAAGTCTCTGGATCCTAATACGCAGAGCTAAAGAAAGAGATGAAGAGGTGGAGACCGCAAGGCAACCCCAGGCACTGGCGGAAGCAGCAGACAATGTGCAGAGGCATGAGGCGGAGGCCCGGGAGCGCAGCCCAGCGCAGCTCTGCCTTCAGCTGCAGCCATGAAGCTGGGAAGGGGGCTTCATCCACGACACGGGCCCCAGCTCAGACCAGAGAAGCTCCGAGGGAATTATTAGGGCTAGCGCTCCTCCAGCGCCGTTTCTTGAGTTGAAATGTCAATCCTTTGCTTTAGCCCTTTCTCTGTGTATCAAACAAGGGATGTCTATGAATACCGCCAGGAGCAGGGTAAGTCTGCCAGCTAAGGTTTTGCTCCTCACTGTGAGCTTTCCTGTGTTTGGAGCAACATAAAAAATATCAAATTTGGGTACTGGGAATCCAAGGCCTAGCTGCTGTGCTCTTACACTCTTTTATTTTTCTATTAAAAACAAAGGGAAGTGGGGACAAGTAGGGAAAACAGATGTCCTAAGAAGGCAAAGGATGTGGACTAGGAAGGACCATCTCTAGTTCGCTGCACAGCCAGGAAGGCTGGTGCAGTGGCGCTGTCGGCTCAAGTCCCCTCCCTGATGCACGAGGCTGACAGACATGCAAGGTCCTCACCCGTGAGCAAGCCCGCACTTACCAGATGACAGGACTCTGGGTCCTCCAGACTTGTCCTCCCCGGTGACCTTTCACCGACTCCTAAACTGCCCTTTGGTTACAGGGAGTAACAGAAATGGGAAGGGGACAGAGCTGTCCTCCAGGCTACAACTGCTGGGCCCTGCCAGGGCTCCAGCTTCAGGAGCGGATTCCATCCTGGTTCTCCAGAGTCTCACACGGGAGCTATTTCTGAGGCCCCACATCCCCCTCACCGTGGGTCTGCAACGGTAAAGCAGGGCCTCCTGGAGCAGCTCTGGGGTCACAGTGCACCCTGGTTTCACTCATGAGCCAGCCGCAGCCACGCCTATGTCCCAGACGGGCAGACACAATGAATGGGTCCCACATGCCCCTTACAGTCCGCCTTCAGAGCGCTCCTGTCCTGCCTGGTGCAGGTCTGTTCAACCACACGGCCGAAAGCCGCACCCCATGCCCGACACTCTGCGATGGAAGCCTCTTCCTCCTTCCTGCACTCACCCTGCGCACCACCAGCCCGTGCCCAGCCCATCCACCTACCTAGACTGACTGATCCCAGTGACCTTTGCCCCCGCGAGCAGGGACCGATACTAAGAATAACCCCAGTCATGGGAGAGGGGAGCTCATATGTTGAATGTGACTCACAATGGTGTCCCTGTCTGGAGCCCCAGGCAGCCAACAGCACCCTTCAGCATGCTGCCCTGCAGTGTCACACAGCAGGAATCCAGTGGCATCACTGGGAAACTATGCTTCTCCAGTGGTGCCCCGAGCACAGCACAGAGGCTCCCTGTTAGGAGGCGGCCCAGGGAGGGAGGGCTCCGCACACTCAGGCCCCATCTCCCATCCTGCTGCGCCTCCACGCCCCTGCACTGTCCCCACCTCCCACTTGCCCGCCTGCCTCCCAGGCTGCAGCTGGGGAATTTCCTCCGGCTGCTTTGTCTAGGGGACAGGAGCCAAACTCTAACTAGAATACTGATGGTCTTGGGTTAAAGAACATGATATACTGGTTGGAAGAAGAAATGGGTTCACGGAGGGCTCAGGCAGCAGTACAGGTCACCCTAAGCACTTCCCTTCGGAAGGGCTCTCTGGGTACTGCCAATCAAAGGCAAACCTCTCTCTGTCTCTCTCTCTCTCTCTCTCTGTCTCTCTCTGTCTCTCTCTGTCTCTCTCTCTGTCTCTCTCTCTCTCTCTCTGTCTCTCTCTCTCTCTGTCTCTCTCTCTCTGTCTCTCTCTCTCTCTCTGTCTCTCTCTCTGTCTCTCTCTCTCTGTCTCTCTCTGTCTCTCTCTCTCTCTCTCTGTCTCTCTCTCTCTCTGTCTCTCTCTCTCTCTGTCTCTGTCTCTCTCTCTGTCTCTGTCTCTCTCTGTCTCTCTCTCTCTG